TTGTTGATTGGGTCGATTGATTCTTCAGCTTTCGTACCAGATTGTGTACATCCCTTATCGTCGGTGAACAGTCAGAATTCTCAGTAATAAACTGGTGAATGCTCTTCTTTCCTGCACCGGTCTTTTGTAGAACCCTCACGGTTTGCAGAACACTCTCCCCAACTGCTGTTCGGTTAATTGGGTAGTTTTGATACGTTGTCGAACCAACCAAGTGATTATGGGTCGTTCTCATCTTCGTAATACATACAACAAACTTGTGAGCTGATTTATCCACTTTTCGAGCGCAGGCATTAATCTAAAAGACATTGCAACGTTAGTGTGCTAGTATTATCCGCCAGCACCCGCCAGCACCCACTAGGACCCGCCAGTATCTGCCAGCACCCGCCAGTGGAAGGCTTACCTGTGTAGGACACTCGATCGAGCGAGACTCTTGACGTGCTCTCTTGCCCTTCCCACGCGGCTTGAACTTTCCGGCGTGGGTGAACACCAGCGTCTTGGCGTACCATACCCATGTCTCCGGATTAGGGGTAGATTTGGAACCTGTACGCTGGATAACGGCGTTTCTTTCGCCAACCTTCTTTGTTTGTTCGAAGTCTGAACACCTGGATATCAATAGGCTTGTTAGAGAAGGTCATACACTAAGCAGACCAAATACACCTTACCTGGTACTTTCCGCTTGGTATGTACGGATGTACGTGTCGAACGCATCCCACGACTCGAAGACGGTGCGGCCAGGAAGGGGAGGAGTTGAATGCTGAGGAAGAAGGTCTTCCGAGCGGCTTGATTTGTCTGAATGCTCCGTCGAACTCGACGTCGTGCCTAGCGCGAACTCGCTTCCGTCACTAACGCTGTTCTCGTCATCTACGTTGTAATCGCTGTCACTGTCCGATTCAGGGGGCACACGTTTCCGCGCCGACCGTCGCATTCGCTCCGCCGGGTTCATTTGCTTCCTTCGATCCGGGGGGGGGGCGGGGGGGGGCGGGCGGGAATGCGTAATGAGTGGTTTAATACACGTATGCATACACGTATACGTCGTTCGGATAGCTGGGAGGTCCGGAGCGATATGAAATAAGAGCGTTCGTAGAGCGTTCATTTTTTCAAATCCTGAAGAGTCTTCACTGGCGGGGGTTCCAACCACTCTCAAATTTGTATTCCATATTCCGAGGGAGGGGTGAGAGGTATTTTATCTTACGCTGGGAGCCGATGCGTTATTCTTGTCGGAGGATATTCCAGGAGCAGGGGTGACCACCGAAAGGTTATCTTTACATGTACATGTACTGTACTTAGGATATCACGGCTGAGAGGATTAAACATGGACGGAGGAAGCGTGTGCTGCAATGAAAAATATGTGGCAAATCATTTTGGGGACTCTCGTTAGAGCACATTTAATGACAACAACACAACAGTCTTACGGCACATTTAACGCGCTAAAGCACATTTATCATGATCGGTTACTCATAAATGTGCTATAACTTAGCGCACATTTATCGTGAAATCTCTAAATATATGACAGTAGCGTTAGGTCTTCTTGATGAAGTACCTGTCGATGCCCACAGTGCCCGATCCTCCTGCGTCTTTGACATGAGGCCTTGGCACGTCAATGAGCGAATCAAAGTATCGGCCGTGAATCACAAGTACGGTGGTATTTGTTCATGTATTTCAGATGCACTACATAACTGAGGTGGCTTGCTATCTACGTTTAGTGTGTTACCCAAAGTACTTCAGTAATTGGTCTTGTATGCCTTTGCAGCTGGCTCGGCGCTCTTGTGGAAAGGACTGCTCATTTGAGTAGCACAGCAAAAGCCAAAGCGTTCGAAGTCGCATGGATCTAAAGTAGGACATACTTACACTTCGCTTTGTGTTGAATCGCGTCACGTTATTCACAAGCGCGTATGCTTGAGCCAATATCATCACTTCGCAACTTGCCATGGATACCTTAAAAAAAAGCCTTACCTCGTTAAAAACCCTCACCACCCACTTCGTTGACCCGTTCGCATCAGACACCTTTTCAACTTTGACTGAGAATCGTGCTTTGCATCCACCGAATCGAGTGGTGCGATTTCGCAAGCCCTGCCCCGCGCCTTTTGATGGCACCCATGCGTACACTGAAATGTACAGAAAGACCACGCAAATTCTTTCGGTATTTGCTGTGCATTAGGCCGACTAAAAAGAGAAAACAGCGTCAGCACATGCAGCCAAAGTTTGAAAAAGTAAGAACGAAATAACATGTTGTGTGTCGCCGTTCGAGCTGACTCTTTCCAGCGATAATGCAAAAAAGTGCTGCTCTTGATACTCTTTTGCGGCCACTAAGATGGGATCCCAGCTACTGCTCTTGCGCAGCGGAAACGCCGAAACCGTGTTTACAATTTCGCGAGCATTTGTGGTCACTTCAACTCTGGCTTTCCAGGAGGAACCTTTACGTTCACGAGGAACGCGGTCATTTGCATTAGGGTCTTAGCATGCTGACGTTGTGCTCAAGCTAGCTCTATCTGCATAGTACACAAACGTTAGAAGTCTTTAACATCTAGAAAACAAAAGGTAAATGTCAGCATCACAAATACCGGTGCGCCTTCTCTTCGAGAAATTGGCACAATCGTGCGTATGTGTACGCTTGTTGGCTAGAGTAAAAGAGAATAAGTGTCAATACACGTTTTAAAGATGATGTAGTGAATGAATCGTACCAACAGCGTTAATAGGGCGCATTGAAAGAGAAGGAGACAGAGAAGTAGTTTCACTGATGTCACGGATGCTGCTTTCGTCCACCCACTCAGAATCATATTCTTCAACAATTGTTCCCATTGCTGAAGAGTGGTGGCCTTGTACAGACTCTAAGAGCTGTCTTGCAACAGTGTCTTATGATGTCTCCTTGGTCGCCTCGTCTCCTCGATAACTGGAAATGAAAGGCTGCTGTTAAATACGTACTTAACCGAAGTTAAAAAAGTGAAAATATAAATGTGCTTTACAGCACATTTATCCCCCAATCGTGTTATTGTCATTAAATGTGCTTTAACGAGGGCGCATTTTGGGAGCGGGTTACGCAGTCTGCAATGGCAGAGACTATTGCCACAAGGTGAGGAACGGGTGTCATGAGACTGCAAATCTCCAATTTTGGAGGACTTGGCGAGATCTCTATTATATCACCCTCCTAAACCCAAAGACAGACCTTCCTGGGCATTAACCCTATAGGGCCGAGCGAGGTTTAGCAATGGGCTTAGGCCCGCGGGCCGCAGGCATGCCGAGCGAGTACTTTATGAAAAAAAACGTAGGCTTACAACTCCCAAGTCACTCATTTTGTGGTAATAGTCACTCTCAGTCTACAACTACATGTGTATTGGAACTTGCCTATGGAAATGGAGTCCAGTGGACATGCATGCTTTTGTATCCAACGCTCAGCTTGCAAAAGTCTTTCCGTTGGAAAGGCTACCACAAGCGGCATCGGGAATACCGGTACCGGTATCCCGACGGGATGCCGTTGAATAATCCTTTGCAATTGACTCTTAGCGGGATAGGGGGCGATAACCCCTCGTAATCCTGCCGACCATCATTCGCCGGGCTCAAAAGACAAGCCCACCAACTCATTAGAGGAAATACCATCGGTCAGTAGAAAACTACTGATCTGTCCCCAACGCGGCGCAGAAAAGACGGCAATCAGTAGAAAATGATAAAGTTCGATCCGTACCTAACTCTAATCATAGCTACATTTCTGCTGCCTTCAGCAAAACCGCTTTTGCCCTAAGCGTACCATGTCTCGAAAGCCGCCTCCGGATTATGGGAGTTCTTCCTTCGTGGTAGATCTTTCTGGCATCGCTACAGCTATAAGCATGGGTGTTTTGAGGGAGGACGCAAAAGTTGATACCTCAGACCGCGCCAGCCAAAAGTATGGGGGAGTATACGCGACGCGAACCAATATTGCAGACACTGAGTTTCCAACACAAATAAGGAAACTAACGACACAAACAATTGCAATCGTTGACTGCTGATTAATAATTAAGGTATTTCTTTCCAATAGATTATCTTACTGATCCTCACTCTCAATAAATATCAGCAGCAAACGGACTGGGGAGTCAATCTCTGTAAGTAGATAGAACTCTACTAACGTACCCTGAGAGTAACCAGGTGGATACGTCGTGTACCCAGCTACTTCAACGTCAACATGTTATTTCGGTGTACTATTTTTTAGCTGCTCAAAACGCCTTTATTTATATGGTTGTTTTTGTGGAGTGCACTTCGGTGGCATTCGCCATTTTGGTCGATGCCTCCGCTCAACCCCCGACAGCGTCACGCCCGAACGATCCAGCGCCGTCTGGACGGCTCCTTTTGGCAGCTTCGTCTAAGCAGAGAAGTTAGCATACCGAACGAAGTCGACCGAGAGCTGGACGCCGAGCGTGCATCGTCCATAGGTGGTGGGTTACGTGACGTTGTCAGTAGAGGAAAAAATCTTTTTGCAAACGAGCGCCGGCTCGTAGAGGAGACAATGCTCAGCTCTTCGAGGTAGAAAGAATATTCGCCAAACGGTGGGTCAATAACTTCGTATACTACCTTATTCAATGGGTGGGGTAGACAGAGTTGACGCGGGAGCCAAGTGCCAACGTGCCAGCGCGCCTAAAGATGGTGTTCGAGCACGAGTCAGTCAATTTCGTCTGGGTCTATCAATCTACGCGGGGAAGACGAACCCAGCGTCGCGAGCAGCCAACGCGCCGGAGTCAGAGAATGATAGACCAAACGAGGCAGGACTAAGAGAAAATGCAAATGCGAACTAAACACCAAACGAGGCAGGACTAAGAGAAAATGCAAATGCTAACTTAACAGCACTCCAGTAGCTGTGAAATCAGTAGTTGTGCAGGCAGCGCCGTGTTGGGGACAGATCAGTAGTTTTCTACTGACCGATGGTATTTCCTCAACTCATTACCCAACTCTCTGATTAGAATGTTCGAGACGCCTATGATGCCCGGCAGCCTGAAGCGCCTAAGCCACTGGCGCTTCCTGCGAGCGTGGCGTGGATGGGGCACCTGAATCTGGACATGACCACGTGTGCCAACAAGAACGTGAGCCTCGTCAAGCGCAATAACACGTTGTACGAGCTGCAGCTGACGTACAAGCCCGACAAAGGTCGGAAACCCGCGAGCTGGACCGTATCGCGCACATTCGACGAGTACCGTGCACTGCAGCGGCGGCTGGTCAAGGCGCTTAAACCCGGACACAAGTGCAATGCCGAATGCAAATGGTTGGTCAACGTAATCAAGAACCACTCCCCCAAGGCCTCTCTTTTCTGCAAGAACTGCCCCAGTACGGTCGAGAGCCGCCGACTGTCTCTGCTACGCCTCGTATCCACAGTCAAGACCTCACTCATTAACCACGGTAACATCGGATGTGTCGTCCTCCGCGACCAGGTCAGCAAGGAGTTATCCACCTTCCTTCTCGCGGACTGTAAGGACTTGACTGTGCAGCAACTTCAGCAAACGGCCTCTGTGTCGGCCCCGACTTCCACCAATTCAACTGAATCTACGACTATGTTACCCAATGAGACCAACGAGGATGAGATCACGTCGTCGATGGTATCACTCACCTCGGATGAGGAGAACTTAGTGTTGGACTTTGAGCTCGACGACGACTTTGCCGACTTTGAGTGCGACCTTTGTGGACTCAGTCTGGATGCTCTGGAGGAGATCGCTACGTCCACATCTCCTCACTGCACTACAGCTACGTTCGACTGCGGCCACCAGTACCATGACATGTGTGTGCTGCTAGCACTCGGCGAGGAAGTCAAGTGCCCACTCTGTCGGTAGGATAAGCAAGGGCGCATAACAAAAGGCATTGCGTCACTAGATGATTACTCAAGTATTATTAATACAATGTACATGAAGGTCGACGAAAGATACGCAACAAAAAGTTGTTGAGCGATCCATCTCTTTTATAATATTTTTATTAGTGGAATAAAGTTGCAATCAACTATCTAACGAAATTCGGGCGGCCGTCTCAATCCGCCCGCCCTACCTTGCGCACGGACACCTCCTACACTTAGGCGGAGAGGCCACGGTCCTCAAAGTGCAACCAATAACATGTGCTCATAAACCGTGGCCCATCACGTACTGGGGTGTTTTCTCGGGTTTTGGAGCAATGGAATTTTCGGGTTACCTACCCACCCAAAGCACAAACATTAAGGGTTTTCACTGTTTAATTTACTAAAGCCCTACGCCTTCGTCATCGTCATCCCGAGCAGCTAAACTCTAAACTTAGGCTCCAAGCAACATAAATCAGAAGTTGCAGAAAATGTGGACACATTCGTGACATAAGGTGAATATAGGTGAAGCCAATAGATACCTCAAACTGGCAGCTGAAGCCGTAAAAGTAACAGTCATCGGAATAGTAGTACACGACACCGGTTCCTGAATGTAGATTCAGTGCTAGCACTTTTATAAATGTTGTTTACAGTGTAGTACCAATATGTTATTGTTTCTGGCACTTTAAACGTTAGAGGTGTCCGAGTCACCGCAAAAACAAAAGTAGCAGTGATATTTGTTTTTACTCTGTGTTTACAGACTTTTTTCCATGAAACTAAAAAAAAGATATTATAATTGTTTGTAGAAGCCGGGTCCTGTAGCCACTAAAGGCTTCACTGCTCGTTGGCGAGCGTATTGTAGCAAATACCGCGTGTACTCGGGATAAGCAAGATAACGACAAACGTATCTTGATCTATACATGAGACAGCGTCAAACAAAATGATACTTACGTACCTAAGTACGAATCGCGAGTTAAGCACTCTAAACGAAAGAGGGGTGACCCCTCTATCTCTTGAGCCTTTATATGCTACAGATGCTTAAAGCTGAATAAGTTGTGGTCGCCCAAAAATATTATCTCTATTTATGGGCCCTCGAACATTTGGGAGTGTTTTGAGCTCAGGATTTTTTTCGATTTTTGAAATTCGAGTGTTATTTTAAATAAAAGCAATTGAATAAGGGTAGCTTTACAGTTTTTCGATGGAAGTTGACATCAAGGTGTCTCAGTTCCGGTTAGGTGCGAAAATCCGCTGGCCAACTTTAAGCTCGATTTTCTCTTTAACTCTAGCCGTAACTATCATTTTGTTTGACGCTGTCTCATATCTAGCGGGGTAGACTAACCCGTCTATATATTAGCTAACCCGTCTATTATTATTTAGTCTGGCTAGTCTACCGCGCAGAACGGGAGACAGCGTCAAACATTATTGAATAGTAGGTTTACCAAACGTACACACCAACTTCGTCCAAAAAATGCTACGTAAATATTAAAATGTAAACCTCTTTATCAGCCATTGAAAAGTACACATAAAATCGCATATAATCATCGTCATCTGTGCTTGGGGGATTCGCATTTTTCGAGCGTGAAAAAAAATGCGAATTGGAGAATTAGGAGAACTAGATAAGACTACGACATGTAGTCTTGGGCAGCAATGCTGTTGAGACTATGCTTAAGGTAGACAAATTCGATTGCGGGAGCGGTTGGCATACCAGACATGAAGTTGTCTAGTGCGATAAAAAGAGTTGGCTCCGCTGACAGATCTTGTGTTGTTATTGTGAGGGGGTCACACAGCACCTTGCGCTAGAGGAAGTTGGCTTCCGAGAGTATACAAACTCTCAGTGAACGGCAGTTGCCAGGTCCCTTTTACCTAAGGGAGCGAAGTGACCAATTTAAGGTAAGTTGTAAGCTGAGTATATTTATAGGTAGACAAGCTTAAGTTAAATATATAACCTAAAGAAAAGCGAATGTCATCGGCCAATGGGTGGCTTTGGAGGACCGTTGTACCCTTGTACCCAAATATCCCGAAAGTATGAAGTGTCATACTTCATGTATTAGGGTGTTACCTTTGGAGAATACCTGACCCGAGGAGGGCCACGCCAGATGGAGGTAGAGTGTAAATAACGATCAGTAAGGCGGAGGGGGGGAGGTGGGCAGACTTCGCATTTTGTAAGGGAAGATAGAGAGCGGTTTTTGCTGCGCGAGCGGGGCGGAGGCTCACTTCACAGTTAGAGCCTCGAGCAGCAGTTTGAGCGCTCCTCTTCTTGGTCTTCACATCGACCGTTACCATGCCCCGTGGCACTGCGAAGAGCGGTGCGAAGACACGGTCCAGGGCTGCTACCAGAACGGCGCACGCAAAGAGTACTAAGGCCTCACGGCAAAGGCTCGGCACTCCAGGAGGATACTAAGGTGGCCTCCGAGGCGATCGGCTCAACTGGTGACGCGGCTGTGGGCAAGCGTGCGAGCAAGCGCCGCAGTCCGTCGCCTCGGCCTCCCCAGACAATTCCCTAGGTTCGCTGAACGTGAGTTCGACTCGGGCAGTGAGGACGAAGCCGAGACCGGGAGCTCGCACGATGCTCCTGTGGTCTCTACGGGAGGGCACAGCCCAGTGCCCAGCGAGCACAAAGGCGTCAGCGTGCAGTCGCTCGCTAGTGATCACGGTGATCACAGCCCCAGGACGTCAGTGCGCTCTGAGAGCCCGGCCGTCAAGGCTAAGGGCACTCCCAAAGCTGACGACGAGAAGGATGAGAAACCTTGCAAACGTTTCTCGCTTGCCGAGAGTCTTGCGCGTGCTAAGGCCCCTAAAGCCAAAGGTGCCACGCACTCTAAGAAGCGTACGGCTTCGAAGTCTCCACTCCGCGAGGAGAAGGAGACTTGGTACTCCCATCGGAGCCTCTTCGGGCCCTCGGATGAAAAGGACGAGGAAGAGGAGGAAGAGGGTGCTATTCCTGAGCCCCGGGAGATCACTAACGACCTCGACCAGCAGCAGGAGGACTTCCAAGCTGCCCAGCGTACGCGTGGGGGGCCGTTGGTAGCACCCGTCAGCCAGGGAGCTGCCATCAACCCACGAGGATATTGGCCTCCCGAGGAGAGCTCTGGGGCTGACCTCTTCCTGGCGATTCTCGTCGCTCCTCGTGGCCTTGTTGGCGGCCACACCTCTAGGGGCGTTAAGACCGTACCCTTGTTCAAAAGGAGCAGTCTTTTGTCGACAACTTGGAGGCGGCTCGGTGTGTGCTTCTCGCGCCACACCTTATCCCTCTTGAGGACTTCACAACTTGTCGTAAGAAGCCCGAGAACCGGGTGGTCTCTACCCTCTCTGGGGCTATCCCTGGGTTCTTCCCGAAAACTGTCTCAACTGGAATTCATCTGAGTACATGCTCTGGGCTTGGATAGAGTATCTCAAGTTTTCACCCTCGGAGTTACGGGAACTCCATGAAGATCAGCTACTGTCCCGCATCCTGAACCAGATTGATCTTCGTGTCCGGTTTTCCCACTTGGTCAGCAAGCGCATGCCACCAAGGGACATTCTGAAGCGCGCGGCTTCTAACGCTCACGATGAGCGCGGGTACAGAGTGTCGTCAACGTCCGTACCCCGTTCGGGCAAGAAGCCCCGGACTACTTATGAAGCTGCTGCCGCTTCTGTTCCCAGATTGCGACAGCCTTAGGGCAGTCAATCAGGAGCCGTTCAATCGGCTCCGACGAGTTCTCGGAGTGGGCATAACCCCTCCACTTCACGAGGAGCTGTCGCTTACCGCGACGTCGTTGCTCCTGGAAAATCTGCTCCACGTGGTAGTGGACTTCTTCATTCCGGTCAAGCAGGGGCGGAGGTGCCCTCGTACGAGTACGAGTACTCGGAGCCTCCCAAACGCTACTCTCGTCCGAGTGCTTCTCCTACGGGTCCGACGCAGGATCCTGAGGTTGGCTTGGTCTCGGGACTGGCGGTGATGCTGCCGCCCAGTCCGGGAATCAGGGCGTGCTTGCTCGTATTGCGGACCGCCTGGATCTGTTGGAGCGTGAGGTCTGGAGCCTGCATCTGCGGGTGGACCGGCGGGCCTCTTCGTTCGATCTCGACGAGGCCTTCCGCATGATCCGATGTATCGATGCTCTGCTGCCACATCCGGAGCCGCATTCGGCGCACTCCCAGTCGTACGCGTATGGTGCGTACCTGACGTACTCGGCGTATGGCTCCGAGGTCCGTTCGTACGGGGCCACTACTGCGTACGGTCTTGACCGTTCAGCTACGAGGCTCGGGTGCCTGCACCGACGCCCTCGGTGACGTCTGTGGCCGGCCCTCGCTTTGAGGAGTGGACCAAGGTGGGTCTGCGAGTCAGCAACCCCCTGATGATTCAAAGTGCCGGTTAAGACGTCCAACGTAGAACGTCGGGTGCGTCGTCATTGCCTTAGGCAGGTCGATGGTGTACAACGTACCATGCCTGGCCAGGACTGCGAATGTTCCAATGAAGCGGTGCTTCAGCTTGTTGGTGCCATCAGAGCTGGCAGTGTGCAGCGGAAGGTTCCTCGTGTCTAATAGCACTAAGCCCCCCACCTTAAATATACTTAAGTTTCCTCTTCCATGTTTGTTAGAGTACTCCTTTTGCCCGCCCGGGGCCGCTGCCATGGCACCGCGGGCCCTGCTGATAATGCTCAGCTTGGAATAAAAAAAACACTCCACTTCCTTCCGTAGCGAAACCGGTCTCACATCTGAGACCTGGGAGGAAAGAGCTTTCCGAGCCTCTCTCTCACTGAGAATAAGGATGCAGTGTCTTCTCGAAAAGTGAGAGGCACTCTGGGGTGACGGCAGCCGTTCAAGTAAAGCGGCGTGGACCCCGTGGACGCGTGCACCGCGTTGTTCAGCGCAAATTGAACAACTGGAAGCTGCGTCGACCACGTACGTGGTGCTTCCGCGCACGCTCTGCGCAGGGTGACCTCGAGCACTCGATTAACGCGCTCTGTCTGGCCGTCTGTCTGTGGATGGTCCGCAGTGGACATCTGCAGACGGGTTTCCAGTAAGGAA